TTTTTCTTTTAAGAGCAAAAATAATTTAAATGGAAACTGGTATTAACTAGGATCATACTGCAAAGCTTATCTCATAAGCAATAAAAGAAGAAAACCTGGAAATCACAACCTTCAAGAAATTTATCTGTCACTTCACAGGAAAGGTCAGCTTCCACCCCCCACTTCACATACACAAATGCCCGTGTGCATATTCAAGTATGCCCCAGGGCTCTTGCAGAGCTTGATAGATGCCAAGATAGCAGTGTTTTGATAGAGGTAATTTTCCTCAGATGGGTTTCAGCACCCCATGAATCAAAACCTGTCAGTGAGGAGCTAAAGATGGAATGAAGTTTATTGTAAGCGTGTTTGCATCTGACACTGGTCTGTTAGGGGGTCAAGTGAGTGAGATCATTAGAACAGTGTTGATTTAGTGGGATTGTTACACACTTTCCCTTCAGGCAGTGAGTTGGGGTAGGATGACTATAGGGGGTTACTATAAATAAATAAATAAATAAAAACCTCAGCTCACTACAGTCTCTTCCATGTCCCGCAACATCCATTCATCCATTTAAAGGTGCTGTTTGGCTATTTTTTTCTCACAAATTTCCTTTAGGCTATGAAGATACAGACTTGGTTACCATCTAGGGCTAATGCATGTGCCTTTTTAATATTCACCTGAACCATTTGTATTGGAATATGAGTAAATTGCATGTTTCAGTTTTAGTAAGAATTTTCGCTAACTGATGCATCCTTTTCATTCATTGTCTTTGCTGGAAGATAAGAACATATTGGATGCAGCAGAAAACCTCTTTGCCTGTTGGTTTTTTTCACATCCAGATTAATGTTTGTGTCAGAAGTAGTATTAACCTTTAAATAGTTATGCATACATCATGTAGAGGTTTATAGGTAAAAAACTACTGTGTATGTATATCACTTTCCTGTTCATTGTATCCATAGCAAAAGGATATAAATGCTGCTATTCAAACATTAATGTGCCACATGAAGCTGCCCTAAGGAATTCCATTAAGTGCTAGCTGTGACTTTTCTTTCCGGGAATGATTTTTTGTTTTTGTTTAGCATTATTTCATTCTTAGCATATTTTGATTTAGATTTATTTATGTGAGATTTATAAAGTACACTTTCATCAACTTGTTTAGTTTCAACAAACAGAAAAGATAGCCAAAAATGTTGAAACATTTTTTTCCTTTGAGGCAACAGTAAGAAGGCAACATGTATGTTGCTGCTGCTTCAGCTTTCTTAGGTCATACTGCATTTTAAGTATTTCAGTTTCACAACAGCTGTTCTAAAGAGGGAATTGGTATTCTATTTGTCCTTGATAACACTGCAGTTCTCTTGATCCAAACTATCCTGCATTTCCAAAGCCTTTGTTTCTATGTATAGCATCCACTAAGATAAAACTGAGCTCAGAATGTATGTCTTCTCTTTTTAGAATAGCTAAGGTTATCAGTCTGATATTTTTACCAAATATGGGCTATCTAGATTCACCGGTGTCACTTAACAGTTTAGGTTCAAAGACTAGCGGATGTTTTGTGGGTAAAAATTATCAGGCAGGCTGAGGGTTCCATCTAGTTCTGGCCATCAGTCAGCAGAATGGAAACTGTTGGGAAAACAGGTCTGAGGATTTCAGAAATCTGCAGGGGGGGTGGTGGAGAACAAGGCACAAACACACTGCATCAGCAGAAGATCATTCATATGATGTTAGAAGTTGAGTTTTGAGTCCTCAGAAACCAAGCTTCAAAATGTAAACCACTATTTTATTCTCCTTTTGGCATTCCAGTTTTTGATGTAATTGCCCAGCTGGACTACTGTAGGTCAAAAGGTATTCCACATCAATATTTCTGAAGGTCATGAAATATTTAATATAAAAGAATTATAATAGCATCTTTATAATGGTCTTCACTTGTCAAAAACAAAAAGCTTAATAGGTGTTTTGGAGCAGAAAATCTGGTGTGAAAAGTATCCCATTGACAAAGAAATGGCATACTCATAGAGTCAGGCGGTAGGTATTACAGAGTGTTGCAAATACATAGAAAAGGTATCGACATCCTGTTATAAGAACTGCTGCTGTTCTCAGAGACCCCTGAGAAACTGCTGCATTTCTAATTAAACATTGCAATTATTCCTGTTGCCACAACACAAGATGATGTCATAATTAATAAAGCTGAACTTCGGTTGCTATGGTGTCATTTATGTAAGGGATTGACATAATGAAGGCGGTCCTGCCACTTGCTGTGGAAGTGTCAAGCACAACCTCTGTGACAAAAGGTACCTGCTGCACCAGTGATGTCATTGGGCTTGCTTTGTGAATTGATTGATAATTTGTTTTGCATTTGTTTTTAAAAGTAGAGGTACTTGTCACTGCTTGACCGTTAATAGCAATCAAGTCTGAACAAACATCATTAGACATTATTTGTAAAGATGAAATGAAAAAGGACTTTATAGAGCCCTAGGAAGAGTGCCATCCTAGTTTTGAATTTGTACCATTTAGTCATTCATAATGATTAAGTTCACATGAAGTGGCAACCCTTCATGGGTAACTAACTGCATGGGGTTGTCATGTCATGCAAACCTGTACCAATTCCCACAGAATGACATTTTCCCCCCAGTAAGCCACTCTGACAATTCATGGCTTCTTTTAGGTGTTGGTGAAGCTACAATAGGTTGTTGTGTCATACAAACCCAGGTTTCTCTTAAAACAGGGTTTTGGCAGGGTTTTGACATGACATTGATAGATTTCATGATTGTATATTTCCCTATCAAAAACTTTGTTTAGCTCTGTCAAATAGTTTTAAAAGAAATCCTTAGTGTTGACAGCTGTCAAAAGAAACTCTTTCCATAAACAGAATGCAATGGTCCACTTTCCCAGGCATCTAGAATCTCAGGAAAGGGAGCAAAAGATTGTAGGCACAAAGAACTGTCAGGTCTAAACTTAAAACCTAAAGGATATCACTGTGCCAGGGTAATGTAGTTGTCACCCATTTTCATAAGCAAAGTTCTTACCATGGCATTTCTTTGCTATCAGGTGAAAGTAGGATGACATCTAGGAAGCTTGGCTTAATCAACATCCATGGATGATGCCTGCTTTGACAGCAGGCACTTGCCAGGTCATCGACCAGTTTCACAACTGCAAAGTATCAACAAAATAAAACAAAAATTAACAAAAATGTTTGCCCGCATTACTGGCATTTTTTAAAAGTAGCTTCTTGGCCATTCTGTAGTGGCTGTGTCTGGCTGCCAGTTTGGAAATCATGAGTAGTGATCTCTTGGGGTGGGGCAGAAAGCCATATCTACTGTGAAAGGACATACAGTCAGAATGAGGAAAGGAGGCATGATGCCTTGCAGTTCCCTGGAATACCTACAAGAAGATTGAGGGGGAAGTCAGGGGGACAACCCAAAGTGAGCCTGATCATCTGTTGTTTCACAAGAACCTACACTGCATAGTTTATTCAAAGGGTAGGTTGCCATGTCATGTGAACTCACCCAAAGTGATCTTGCTGAGGTTGAGGTTCAGACCACATTTTATCAGAGTGTTTAATGTACATGGGGAGCTGTGCATTCAAGGTTTTGATTTGTTTCATTGCTCATTTCAGGAAACCCATTGACTCTCACATCCTCAGCATGGTGATTATGAATGGTTATCATTTCCATAGTGCCTCTAATGGCCAGCACTGTTGGATTGCCAAATACATTAAATAGAAAATATATTGCATGAGCAGGAAAGCATTATAGGAATAGAGCCAAGTAATTGGACGAACTTTTGGAACTGAAAATAGTACAAGAGAACTTCCACACCAGATAGATGTGCTAGAGACTCTTAATGGGGAATGATGGCTTCATTCATTACTGTGGACCCGAGCTGCCAGCATGGTTAAAGTCAAAATTTGCAGTCTTATAAGGAAATAAACAAAAGCAATCCAAAGTATCTACATCAGCCAACATTCACTCAGACTGGAACACAGTTGAAACAATTTATGAAGAAAGGTGCCATACTGGCCAACTTAAGGAAAATGCTTCTGGCAGGCTGGTAGCAAATGGATTAAATTATAAAGATGGCCTTTTAAGAAGTTGAAAGAATTGGCAGCAAGGATCCATTCTTGCAGGTAGTCTTTATTATGACTTCCCTGTACTGAAAAACATTAATTCTCAAATTTATACAGTGGGTAGCTAGAGATGTGTATATGTCAGGCTCTCTTGATCACACTTCTTATTGGTTATTCTAACAAAATAACCAAAACCATATTTTAGTGTGCTACCTCAGTAATGACGGTGCACTGCTAAGAGAGCAACCTTAACCTGTGTGTTCTTTTGCTCTAACACAGTTCACAATATTTGAAAAGGTCCTAAATTATTCTGTTAGCCAACAAAGTTGATTCTGTGCTTTCTGCCCATCATTCTGAAGACAGTATAGGAAAAGAGGTTGAATACTCAGTTCTGGAGAGATAGAGAAATACTGCATCTAACAAAATTAGTTGCTTTTATTTTGTTAACTGTGTAATCAGTACTTCTGTCAATTAAATTTCAAATTTACGTAATCCAGGTGACTATATCCTTAAAAGTAGGATAGGTAGTGGTAGTTCTGCTTCTAACAGAGAAAACAACAACACAGTTACCACAACTGCATGTGCTTTTTCTGCTTTTCTGGCTTTTAAGTGTTGTTCATTCTTTTAACATTCAGAAAGAAAATAGATCTATAACCTTCACAGTACTGTCCATTGTTTCTTTCCAGTAGAAAGAATCATTTCAAGGCTGTTTGGGAAGTTTTTAATGGCCAAGATTTATATATTAGGTAGAGCCATGAAGTGAGGCAATGAGTAGAAGGAAGAAGAAAAGTCAAAGGTATGATGTTGGAGGGCCTAGTTTGTTCAGCCATTACAGGTATTGTCCATCTAGATAATGGTATCTGCTCTCTTTATGAAATAAAGCTGTGCCCTCCTGTGAATATATCTTCCAAAATTATTATATTGACCAACAAAAACAAATATTTCTCTTCATTTTTATAGAATGAAGATGATGAGAAGCTCAAAAAGAGAAAGGAGAGATTTGGTATTGTAACAAGTTCTGCTGGGACAGGAACCACAGAAGACACAGAGGTAACCTGCCAAACAAGGATGATATGTTATGTTTTTATATTGATATGGGTAGCAGTTGAGAACACATTTTCTGTGATTAATTGAAATAATGGAAAGCACTCCACAAGATGGCACTGTGTGTCTTTTATCCTTTCTCTGCCCCCAACCCTATGGTCCCTCTAAACTCTCCTAGGTGGTTGTTTAGTATTTCAGATGCTTCATCAATGGGTGACCTCAAACATTTACTTATTTTCTTCTTTAAATATAGAAATATCACATTGTTACTATCTGTTCCTTGATTAATAAATTTTAATCTATACGACCTCAGTTTTTTCAGTCTCAATTTAAAGGTAAGTTATACGCTTGTTGTTTATTTTGTGCTCATAATAAATGCTATGTGTTGTTCATGATCACACAGCTATATAGCTAAACAGGAGTTTGAATCTGGATGAGCAGATCCAAATCCATCCTTGTATCCATTGCAGATCTTGCATGGTGATTTTGATTTTGGGTGTATGTGAAGCAGATGTCATAAATGTATAGAACATTCTGTGCCTGCCCTTTCCTGTGCTACTTAAAATCGTTTACTGAAATTAATGGCAGGGGTGAAGGGGAGAATAAAAAAATAAGTGGTTTGGCGTTGTTCTGTAAGTTTTTTCTTGAACACCTGCAAGTCCTTGAAAATATCACAGAAGGTACACATGAACTCTACAGTTCTTTTCTTTCCTGTCGCTTAACAAAATTTCCTCTTGTAATTTTTAGGCTATTTATTAATTTTTCTAATGCATTGGCACTAATACCACATTTTGTAAATTCTTTTTAGCAAGGGATGTGTTATCTTATTATGGATCTTCTGATTTCTCCTTCTTGAACTGTTTGCATAATTTTTATTAGACCCTTTTACTCTTAGATCCTTCTGGCAGTTCTTTTGTTTCTGTAAATCTGTGTTCATATTTATTGTGGTTGGTATAAAGCCATGGTCCCCCATCACAAGGGGTCTTCTTGCTGTGGGCTCATTTTGCTATGAAAGGGAAGCAATATTTGGGTCTCTGAACCCTCCTCCTCAGATGAATCCTGAGCATTATATACAGGAAGTTTATTTTCTTTGGCATCTTATATAGGGTTCAGATATGGTTTGCTGCTTTTTGTTTTTGCCAGATGCTGTGCAAGCATTGCTCCACAAAATGAAGTAGCAGCTGTAGAATGATCCCCCTGTTCAGTTTGAGTGGAGGGGGTGGCTGGGCTCTGGTCTGAGGGATTCCATGCTTTTCCGTTAGGTCACTTAGAGAGTGTGCCTGAAACAAAAAGGTCTTTTTCTAGTATTGTGTATGCTAAACGGCACCTTTCCCCTGGAGATTCTTGATTAGGACTTCTGCTACCCCCTAGGCTATTTATCCTGGTAAAAATTAAGATTTATATGCCCCTAGTGTAGTGACTTAGAGGCATATCTGAGAGACGCATGAGTATATTTAATGCATTTGACTGTGTCCCTCTCGCCTTCCCCATGAATAGAAGAGTGTTAACCCTTTGGCCTTTTACATTTCCCACCTCCCTATTGCCTGGAAGGCTTTCCAGGCCTGTAAAGTAGTCATTGTTCTAAGCATAGCTCTCTTGTATATCCTAGCAAGATGAAGCAACCACCAGGCCACTGTATCTTACACTTTTACAACTTAATTTCTGACTCTGGTTGGAGGCCCTGTTGCAATTGCAGCGCCCCTTGTGAAATCTGATATGAAAAATGCTTTCTGAAACTAACACTGTGACACTCTACCTTCCCTATGACTTTCTACCTTTCCTTGTGCCAGAACACATGCTGAGAGTTGCCATTCCCCTAGGTCTGGATTTTTTTAATCTTTCTTTTAATTCCTATTTGCAGGCAAAGAAGAGAAAAAGAGCAGAGCGTTTTGGCATCGTCTGATGAGCTTCCCCTTAGCCTTTACCTGCTTGGGGTGTATCTCTTACACATTCTTGTTCTTCATCCCTAATGAAAATAATAGTTTTCTCTCTCATCTGGACCTTGGCCATGCATATTTAGTTTTGCTTCCTCACCCCAACCCACCCCAGATTTAGAACTGTAAAAGAAACAGCTTTCATAGCATAAAATACTTTGGCTCTGTATATGTTTGTAAACCATTTGAATTTTCTGGCAAATCTTTTATCAGCCACTTACATCCAAATTACACCTCCAATATACTTCTCTGCAAGACCAGCCACACAAAATAAAAATAGTCCCTGAGAAGAAGGAATATGAATATTTTTGTCACATCTTTCAGCTCCAATTGAAATTAGTCAGTAATACTAACTGCCTAAATCTTCCTTGCATTTTTTACTTAGTCATTTTTTCAACACTCATATGCACCATTGCTAAGAAATAGGATTTTTCTATCCCCACCTTTAAGCAAAATAATTCATGAAGTTCATCTGTCTGTTGACTGTACCAAATCTGAGATTATTTTTATACTCACTTCTCTTCTTTGGTCCTACTACAAGTTCACTTATATTGTGTCTTATAAAGTTATGAGTTATATCTGCTATAGAGCAAGCTCAGAATGGTTATGTGTAATAATCAGTTGAGGTATACATGCTTTATATACCTTATGTGGCTGTTGACCCCCAGAAAAAAAATTAATTGCATCAAACTGTGATTGGCTGCACAATTTAGAGAATCCTAACCTGAAGGAAGTGAAATAGCCATGCATATAACAGACAGTGCCACACAGCCTCTGTACTGTTGGTAATGGGTTTTTTTTTAATCTTGCCCTGAGTTTTTTAAATTTTACTTGTCACAAATGTAAATTATTTCCTTTTTTGAAAATAGTATCAAAAAGTTCCAAAAAGAATAGTTGTTTAATTACCATAGATTATAATACCTACATCAACCCTTTTACTCAACTTTCAGCCTTTCACCTGATTTACAAATTTTAGTTATGTTTCTCTCTGAATTAAATGCATTGTAGAGCAAGTTGATGCTTCCATTTGTAATGGTGCAATTTATTAAAAGTAATGAGTTGGATTAAACCTCTTATCCCATCATCTCTTATGTTTCTCATTTTCTTGCAAATGAAAGGAAATTGTACTTGCTCATATGTAAAGCTTCAGAAATGAAATGCAGTGGCAGCTTGTGAGAGTACAGCTTTGTCCTGGTGGTTCCATCTTTTAGCTAATACTTCAGATCTGTATCATCCTTTATACAGAGAAAAATGAAACTATTTTCTCTATTCTAAAGGTATCATTTCTAATTGGTTACAAGTTTTATATACTGCAGTTGGTTGGCTTTTTTCAATGTTAGTCCAATTGGGCACTTTTGGATTCTTTTTACCCTAATATTTCATTGAAAGATGGGGGTTTTTTTGTATCCCACACACAGCTCCTTCCTTTTGTGTGTAGTTGGCGATTAAGTAATGCTTAGAAAAATTATTAGTTGAATCATCTTTATTTTATACTTCATTAAAAATTGTGTGTTTTTAATTGATCAGGCTTATAATGTGCTTGTTTTCTTTGTTATTTATGCCACCTCTGAGCAATACTTTAAGGATTTATATGCTGTTAGGTCTTGAGGTCACCTGGTATCCTGTTATCAGTTCTATACCCCAGTATCTCAAAATGTATATTCAACTTTATTCTGATCTTATTTTATATGTGGAATTTTATAATATATGTTTTCTACTCATCAACTGTTGACAGTATGGTTACTTGCTTGACATGTGTTTAGAATGTGTTGAAACCAGAACTGCATTTCATTCTTGGTTTCATAATAAAACTGCTTCTTCAAGGCAACGGCTGTATCTGCCTCTTCGATGGACTAGAACATAACTGGAGGTACCTTTTTTGTTTATATCTACTAGCATGTAAGGCTTCAAACTGCTAAGGATGCACTTCAGTGTACATGTCATTACTGTTTTTGGTAGAGAGTTATATCTCCTTTAAAAATCACAGAAAATAATTCTGATTACTCACTTCAGTATTTGTTATTTATTTAACTCTTACGTTATCCCATAGCCGAAGCTCCTTGGGCAGCTTAAATTAATCCATAAAGAGGACAATGATGCAACTTTTTAAACAGTTAACAACTAATACTTTATATAATACAGAATAGAACTATTAAAAACCCCAGATATGGGTGGCCCCATCAAACCACTAGGTAACTACAGACATCCTTAAATGCTTCAGCACAGAGGCCTGTCTTAACCTAGCTGTGAAAGGATGACACACTTGAAACCAGGTAGGCCTCAATGGAAAGATTATTCCATAGTCGGGAAGTGGTGTTGCCACCCCCTGAGAATCTGTTGGAAGTGGCACTTGGAGCAAGGCCTTGATCTAGATGGAAATGAAAAGGAGAAGTAGAGCTGCATATGATCAGTGTACTGATGACATTGCGCTCCAGAAACCTGAATGACCCCACTCAGAGATTTCAGGCAGATGTTAAATAGCATGTGGGACAGAACCAACCTCTGAGGAGCCCCATGCATTCATGGGAATTTGCAGTATTTCCCACGCACCAATTCTGACTATATACTCATAATTTGTCTAAGGAACATTCACAAGTTTTGTGAAAAATGAATGATAAGCTCTGAATTACTGCACTTTTTAACCACTGGATATTTCTTAGTGGCTGAATTCAAACATAATGACAAGCCATGCTGGAAACTGCTCAGAGATTGCTTGTAACTGAGTGTGAATTCAGCATCCATGGTGAAGTGTGGCATGTTTGGTTTCCATAAAATCATGCAGAGAAACAACTAAGGTTTCCTCACTTCACCATGGCTTGTTATTATGCTTGATTCCAATGTTTGTACAGTGTTTCCATATTTTCACCATTGAGTTTGGCAGCAAAAGTGGCCATGGCTGCATCAGCTGCCCCAGCCTCCATTTTTTACTGTCCTGTTCTGCCTAGCAACTGCTGAGGTAGCTGCAGCCATGCTCTGATTGGCTGTTCCACAGCACTTTTCATCTGTCTGCATGCTACTTTCCCAATGCTGAGCCACAGCTTCAAAATATCAGCAGAAGGGCATTGTGCCATGCTGTCTTCACCAGCAGTTACTACGGAAGGAGCCACACTTGACACTCCTGTCTGGTCATGGAAATTAGCTGGAGCAGTGCTTTGAAATGACTGTATGTTTGTTCTAGTTGGGGAGCCAGTGCTCTCCTCTTGCGAAGGCAACTTTACACGAGAACAGCAAGTAGGCACTGTGTGGCCATCACCATCAGGATAATCACCCTGAGATGCCCAGGTCTCCCAGTGTATCTCCCACCCTTCCTGCCACTGCTATCTTGTCCTTGGCATTCCTACAGGCTGTCCAGAAACCTCTTGTATCCTTCACCCTTTCCCAACAGCTACAGGACAAACACATTCCTTGTGCCCAGCCAGAAAACATTCCCAAACAGATTCTCACACATGCACCACTGGGAGAGTTTTTCCAACAGGATGCACTCTCTCTGTCCCTTGCATGGTCTGCCCACACAGTTGCCCTCTGTGTACCTGGATACAGAGAGGTTCCCCCCCTGGAAGAATGTGCAAGTTCTGCTCATGGGAGGTCATGGACACATGTGCAACATGGGAGAGGGCAAGAGGAGCATGCAGGTGGGTGTGTTTGCTTGTTGGTGTAGAGCAGGGAAGCAGCAAGGAGCATTCCTGCAGTGCTCCTCTAGAGCAGCAGTGCTACTCTAGTGAATAAGCATTTGCTTTACAGAGCAGCAGGGAGAAAAAAACAGAAAAATCTGACTATTTGAGGTCACTCTCATGGATGTGTATGAGCTAATGATGGAGGAGGCAACAGCACAGACAGAAGTGGTACAACCTGGCATTAATTCTGAACCATGAGGGCTGATGGGATATGTGCCCCCATTTGGAGGGAAGATAGAGAAGCATAGAAAACATGCATGCATAGAAACCACATGAATGTGTGAATCCAGGACACAAGGTGAGATATGTCACGCAGTAACCACGTGGCATCATTTAGCATTATGTGTGAATACAGATGAGTGAGTTGTACTATGAGGAACGTTACTTCAGGCTTTACTAGACTTTGGTCTGCAAAGAAAGCAAAGATGTTTTGGTGTTAGCTTTAGTTTTTCTCCACTTAATATTTGTTACCAAGATAACTGTAAGTCACTGTAGAACAGAGTGCAGTACAGCTTTCAGTGTCAGAGCTGAATTCCATTTCAGGGAATTCTTCAGGTAAGGTTCTGGTGGTATGTAGGACATAAGGCAAAAGGGTTGGAACCAGAAAACATTGTATTTTCAGTTAAAATTGTTATTGTCAGTAGCTATGCTGTAGGACAGGAAGTGTAACCTTTTAAAATGAAGAAAAGAACGCACGAAAGAAGGAAACCAGGAAAGAATGTTTAGTTGGAGGAAAAGGGGTGGGACCAGGGGCAGGATCATGGCATTATGGGTACCAGTAGAAGGCTTGATTGGGACCCATGGGAGTCCAAGATTCTGTATTCTTCCTGTAGCGAAGGGCTAGGACAAACATAAAAATCATAAAATTAGAACAAATTTCTGCAAATACTTGACAATTCTGTAGATAGAATGCAAGAATTCCAACACAAAAAATTATGGTAACTAGCTACAATCTTACCATACATTTTATGAATGGTGTTAACTACTGTAACTATCCAATCCCATAGGTGTTAGTATTATCTAGTTATTAAGCTTTAACTAATGGTGGTAATTCTGCTATAGGAGCTGCTGCTTCTAAATCTGAAGTCAAAAGAAGGTAATTTTGTTTCTATGTCACAGGACATGGAGAAAGACAAAAATGCTATTTCCTAGTCATTCCCTTCTGTCTACCATATTGAAGCAAAGGATTACGGTTAGTCATTATTTTTTTTCTTTAATGGAGAAAATAAGAGTCAATATTAGGTGAATGGTATAGTAACAGAGTAGTTGTTACAATCCATGATAGGCTACTCCAAGAAGTGAAAAGTATGCATTGATGCACTCAGAACTATGTATGACCAACTGATTTTAAGGTTCTGCACCTGTACTCATTATTGTTTATTGGTTTCACTTATGTTTTCATTATAGTGATTAAATAAAATGATTTTAGGATATATTGCTTACCTGCTATTTCTTACTGTACTCTTCTCTCTCCTTTGGATATAATATTAGTATAGTAATAAATTTTGTGTTCCCAACATCTTTCCTTACCTAGCCACCTTCTGTACATGCTGCATATACTGTAAGAGGTAACTGCCCTTTGGGATTTCTTTTCCCCTGTCTTGTGCCCCCCTCCTGCAGTGGGGAAAGGATTTTATTAGAGGGGACGCTATCTTTTAAAGAGTAAGCATTCACCCTTCTTTAGCAAGGGGGGGGATCATTCTAATCAAACTGTGTTTAAAACACTACCTAATTTATTTTTCCTCTCTAAGCTGGGGGCCGCTCGTGACTAATTTGAGCTGAATAGGCAGATAGAAAAAGCAGCAGGCATACAATGAGCGGCAGAAAGTGTGGGAAAACCAGCAAAAGAAAGGGATGGCCGAGCCTTGCAGCGTGAGAGCTGGGGAAGGCCGTGTAGCACCCAAATTCAGCATGAAGTCACTTTTCAACAGTAGACGCTTGGGCTCTAAATGCAAGTAGGACTATAGGTCAGGGAGGGGGAAGATGGAAATTTGTGTTAAGCTTGCACAATGTAAGCAGGAAAAGGAATGGGGGGGGGGTGGAGAAGGGATCCTCTGGGTGTGCATGCATCCCTTCACAAAGAAATACAAACACATGTTCTTCCCAATTGCAATGTCCTCTTCTCCTCAATGGCCTCTTGCCCCCGAGTCCACTGTGGGTGGGTTGAAAATCTGTCCTGTTTAAATTCAGGAAAATAAGAAAACAAAGGAACAGAGGGAGCCTGGAAGTGTGTGCCAGTGAGGAGTTAATAAAGAGAAATGTGTTCTCCCTTCCCCCAGTCTCATGGTCTTTTAAATATTTATAGAGACAGCAAAATTTTATTTCTAGAGGTGGGCAAATCAAGTGACCTCTCACCTGGAGCTCTGACCCCATGAAACTCAGATTATTCCGCCTTTGCCGTGGGAGGGGC